CGTATAACGTACACAGTAAACTGATTTATGAAATTTGTTTATTTCTGTACTAGCCTCTGTGGGTAGGGATCGGCTTGAGACAATTAGGTAATAGCTTATGTCCCCTCGTTTGCGTCACCTGTAATCGCAGGAAAAACATTCAATCCTAATATATCCTGTTGGATTGACCTTTAGGATCCAGTTACGCAATGATTGTAATAGTTACGGGAGAGTCTTTGAGCGACTTCCTCTCAAAATGCGAGTTTGAAATTACTAGTTTTTATCATTGTCGTACAAGGGCATACCAACTCATGACCCACCAGGTATTTGACTTTAGTCAATTATAACAATCAACTTAGTTATTTCATTGATAGCTTTTTTTTTTTAATACATATAATATTATTAAAATAAACCAGATAACAACACATCGCTATAGCTATACAAAACCGTGTTTATAGTTTTTGAAACGAAATCGAAATAAATAGTAATTATATTTATTTATTTTATTTTTTCATTATTTTATGATTTCATTATTTTATTTTTTTTAAAATTGCAATACTTATTTTGTCGATTTTTTCTTTATTTTCATGAGATTCTTAACAATGGCCCGTTCACAATTTTATTCTACGATTTGCAGTTAATAAAAATCACGTCCCAAGATATATTTTTTATTGCTTAGACGGGTGGACCAGCTCACAGCCCACCTGGTTTTAAGTGGTTACTGGAGCCCATAGACATTGACAACGTAAATGCGCCACCCACCTTGAGATGTAAGTTCTAAAGTCTCAGTATAGCTACAACGGCTGCCCTTCAAGCCGAAATGCATTACTGCTTTGCGGCAGAAATAGACAGGGTGGTGGTACCTACGGTACCTACCCGTGCGGACTTACAAAAGTTCCTACCACCAGTAAATAAGCATATGTCAGTTCCCTTAAATACATCAATGCATACATGTGAAACTAATAAAAGCCTAACAAAACATGGTTAAATGTCTTCGTCTCATCCAACTATCTTTTGTATCGAATAATAAATATTCTGTGTTCATCGAACTATATAGTCCACCTACCACTGCATCACTACTGGACAGCTGACAAACCTATTGTAAACGCTATCATTAAAGTAGGTACGACCGATAAGGTCCTTTGTCGCAACAACTTACGCGCAAGCTTAAATTTTATTTCCATAGATAAGTCAACGTGCTCAAAACCCACCTGAAAGACATCACAACGTGATCAGCAATCCTTGAGAATCATGAAGTGAAACGGGCAAAATTGCCGATGCTATTTAGAAGACGTCGTGGCCTAAAGGATAGGACGTCCGGTGCATTCGTATCTAGTAATGCAACGGTGTTCGAACCCCGCAGGCGGGTACCAATTTTTCTAATAAAATACGCACTTAACTAATTTTTATGTTCACGATTTACTGCCACGGTGAAGGAATAACATCGTGTAAGTTTGCGTAATTACTGGTGGTAGCACCTCTTGTGAGTCCGCACGGGTAGGTACCACCGCCCCGCCTATTTCTGCCGCGAAGCAGTAATGCGTTTCGGTTTGAAAGATGAGGCAGCCGTTGTAACTATACATCAGCCATTCTCGGACGTTATTTTCCCCTATGTATAGTGTTGTAGAAGAACACGGCTACATACCTACCATTTTTATTTTACAATGTGTTTTCTATCGGCAAAAAGACGCTCCACGCTTCTCAGAAACTGTCTTAACAGAAAAAAGGAAAAGACAAAATAAAACATATGTCTCGAGGTAGGTGGCGGTATTTACGTTCTACGACGTATGGGCTCCGGTAACCACTTAACACCATATGGGCCATGAGCTCGCCCACACACCTAAGCTATAAAAAAATGTATGTGGTAAAATATATATATGGAAACGCACTGTGAATGAACACAGTGGTACTAGGTAGTATGGATGAACCTTGCTCTGATGGCCAGAAATGCGATGATAAAATCGAGATGGATGATCTCAAGGACCATCTTAAACAAGTCATCAGAACAAACAAGAAAAAATTACTAAAAACTACACAATGTCTACACAAAGAATAAAATCGCGAACTAATTTTAGTTATCGATTGGCAATAAAATAAATTGAGCATAATTTATACGTTTATAAATATATCATATTTTATTCGTAAAGATATGCACTAATAAATGTGTGTATTTATGATTTAGAGACTCAAAAAACCCACGTAAATTAATAGTTCTTATCGAAATAACAATATGTTTCAGACCAAACATCTTACATGATAATGGTCTGACCGGATTTTTATCAGAAACATTAAAAGAGAATTAAAGAAAACAGCTATCACTAACTCGTATTTTATCGTATTTTCCTTTATTTGACTTTATTACTGTTGTTAGGACCTCTTCTGAGTCCGCACGGGTAGGTACCACCACCTTGTCTATTTCTGCTGTGAAGTAGTAATGCGTTTCGGTTTGAAGGGTGGGGCAGCCGTTGTAACTATACTTGAGACCTTAGAACTTATATCTCAAGGTGGTTGGCGCATTTACGTTGTAGATGTCTCCGGTAACCACTTAACATCAGGTGGGCTTTGAGCTCGTCCATCCATGTAACCAATAAAATATAAAAAAAATATAAAATTGGTTAAGAATGATTTTCTTCCAGTGGTAATATCCAAGAGTGTAGACCTATTGTTTTTTTTTTGTGATTGAAGGATTACTGCTGGCCCGGAGGCCTTTCCAGTTTCAAAACAGTCGTCGTGGCCTAACGGATAAGACGTCCGGTGCATTCGTGTTGAAGCGATGCACCGGTGTTCGAATCCCGCAGGCGGGTACCAATTTTTCTAATGAAATACGTACTCCACAAATGTTCACGATTGACTTCCACGGTGAAGGAATAACATCGTGTAATAAAAATGAAACCCGCAAAATTATAATTTGCGTAATTACTGGTGGTAGGACCTCTTGTGAGTCCGCGCGGGTGGGTACCACCACCCTGCCTATTTCAAGCCCAGACAGACGGGGTGGGATTAGCTAACAGCTGCCTGAGCGCCTCCAAAGGAGACCTAACAACTCAAGACCAGCTGCTTCGCGAATTAATCTACTAACAGATCGCAATGGCGACCCGCTGAGAAGATCCGGCGAGAAACTCAGCGAACTGATGCTTAGATTAGGTTGCACGGCGAACTCTTTACCGAGTTCGACGAGTACGGTTATCGGAGTCCCTAAGCCTACTCCTGATGTTAGAACTGAAGGCGTCTAATATAAGAGTTATTGGATCTGATGGATCACGGATCGTTTGGAACCTCTGGGTCTGCGGAGGGACTTCGGTTCGCTCTGTATTCTGTACCGTATGTTCCATGGGGAGTGCTCTGAGGAATTGTTCGAGATGATACCGACATCTCATTTTTACCTTCGCTCCGCCCGCCATCGGAGTAGAGTTTATCCATACTACCTGGAGCCACTGCGTTCATCCACAGTGCGTTTCCAGATATCTTTTTTGGAATGGCTATGGAATGAGCTCCCCTCCACGGTGTTTCCCGAGCGCTATGACATGTCCTTCTTCAAACGAGGCTTGTGGAGAGTATTAAGCGGTAGGCAGCGGCTTGGCTCTGCCCCTGGCATTGCTGACGTCCATGAGCGACGGTAACTACTCACCATCAGGTGGGCCGTATGGTCATCTGCCTATACGGCAATAAAAAAAAACTGTAAGGACGTGTCTAGGGCGTCGACGGTGACTTGCTCCTGCGTGATCAAGATTCGGGGAGTAGTCCACGGCGGCAACGATAAGGCGATTATCATGACGCATAGCCTTATCGAAGTACCGTTCGGACGCTGACTTGATGTGTTTGCGGATCGATTCGAGGCCCAGGTCGTCGTTCCTCACTAGCCACGGAGCTGCAACAGCTAGCCTCCAAAAGCGGGATGTAAGGATTGGAGGGTGTCTTTGTGCCGGGTCGCATGAGCGAACACGTCAGATTAGTCTGCTCTTAATACTCTACAGTCTTCAGTCTACCCTGATGATAGTGTTATATACCGATGGCCGAAATATTGGGAACTCATTAAACCAAGAAATCACGGTAAAAATCTCTTTATAATGAACACTTAGACATGGAAGTTCAAAACAATTCGTAATAGAACATCTCATAACAAACGTATTATGAAATGAATCATAGTCAAAAGTTTACAAACAGAAGCACGTTTAAGACAAAACACCTCGTCGTGTTATATCACGAAAAATACAATAATCATTTGCTGAATAGAATGTCTAAAGCATAGTTTAAAATGCGTTCGTATTTAGTGACGGTTGTGTTTTTGGGTAGGTAATTTTACGTTTCCGATCCGGTGGTAGATTCTGCGAAGCACGGCTCTTGCTAGGGTTCGTGTTAGCAACGTCGTCAGGTTTGAGCCCACGTGTCATAAAACTGAACTAAAGTTTATTATAATAAACTAAATTCTTCTTCTTTATCTCCACCTTATTCCACTAGGTGGGGTCGGCACAGCGAATTTTTCTATTCTATTCTCCTCTATCAGCTGTCATCTCAACACTCACTTCTCTCTCTCTCATATCGTCATTCACACACTCCATCCATGTCTTCTTTGGTCGACCTCTTAGCTTAAATTTTTTTTGTAAATTGAATTGAAGAGTTACCGGGCTCCCGTTACAACTGGTCTCAATTGTATTCTTCTTCTTAGCCGTTTGCACTCTTGGCGGATTGACCGTGGTCATCAGTTATTGTGTTGGTGCGCTTCACAAGACGTCACCATTCCTCGCGTATCGCTGCCTTTCTTGTGCATTCGTTTCCGTCCGCGACAAGTAATTTTTCCTAAGTAAATATGTACCTTTCCACGTTCATGACATCACTCAACCTAAAGATTATTTGTCTCATAAAAATCAAACTTAGGTAACCACTGATCTTCGGACGTACAGTGATATTCCGTAACGCCATAACACCAGTTACGTGTTTTCCGGATTTCACAGATCGACAGACACTTGTCTCAATTTAGATTAGGAGATAACTTAGTACGAATTGAGTCAAGTCGAACTAATATGGACGAAAAGGTACATACAATCAGAAGTCCACGGATTCCGCAGTCTGGTGGTAGGACGTCTTGTGAGTCCGCACGGGTAGGTACGCCCTGCCTATTTCTGCCGTGAAGCAGTAACGCGTTTCGGTTTGAAGCGTGGGACAGCCGTTGTAACTATACTTGAGACCTTAGTACTTATATCTCAAGGTGGGTTGCGCATTTATGTTGTAGATGTCTACGGGCCACGGTAACCACTTAACATCAGGTGGAAGGCTACTTTTCATCGTATTTCCGAATAAAGGTTCCTACCAAAGCCATATAAAGTGTGCAGCCAAAGTTACGGGTGAAAAGTTAGTCTTCATCATAATTGGAACTGGAAATAGGACCCTAAAGGAAACAAGTACGGGAACATAGAAAGCCTGTGACCGCTGGATAGGTTTATCGCCCGGATTCCAAATGTATATAATATAGTGTTGTAGATATAGAAGACAGAGCTGTGGCCGGTTTTGGCTACCGAGAATGGATTTATTTATCTGTATCGTTCTGATTATTAGTAATCTACTTTTGCTTTCTAGGAATTACATCATCGTCAAAAAATTACGGAACAGTTTGGCGGTATGACGGTAATACTTTTCATAATTTATAGTGAATTTTTTTTTAATCATTTTCATGAGAAATATGATACTTAAAAAAATTCGCCTTATAAGTTGGACGTATATTTAGCGAAGCGAAATCTGCTAACATACTTTATTATTCCTAGATTTCTACAATTTCACAGAGCTCACAGTCCCAGTGCTATGATGTAGTACCAAAGCCACCGCATACTTCGCGATGCGAAATCGGTTCATTTCTATAATAGCTATTCTGCTCTTGAGAGTATTAATTTACGATTAAAACACGTTTTGCAAATGAAATATTTACTTCAGAGCCTTCTGCTGTAAAGGCCGTGAAGTGCATCATATATCTTTCATGAGTTCTGAACCGTCATGTCCACCTAGGGTGCCTTCACATGGCCGCCACATGGCGCTTCATTTGCCTAAGCTCTAGGTAGTAAATATTTCCACGAAATATGGTCAAATTAAACCCGCAAATTCGTCATATCCATTCCCCTGCGAGATAATCATTAGTTCGAATTATTGGAAGATGAGATCCGCATGTGATAATTCTCCTTCTAACAATACCACAAAACCTTAGATCAACACAACTGGCCAGGAGACCGCTGTAGGGAAGGCGACAAAAGACAATCACCTATTGACATCAAAACAACGGACGTCGTCAAGGATTTCAACAGCCTCTTCATCAAATACGGAAATCTCAAGTTTGTTGGCTACAACAAAGTATTGCTGTCGGCGATTAATAACGGGCTCACTAGTAAGTACAAGAATGTTAAATATGTATCGCAAACATTATGACTATTAGAAAAAAGCAAAGATATGATTGCGAGACCGAATACGTAATGAAGTCATTCGGGTAAAAACCAAGGTGATCGATATAGCTCGCAGAGTTAGTAAGCTGAAGTGGCAGTGGGCGTGTCACGTGGGGTAGACGTGTTCTGGAGTGGAGACCGCGAACCGGCAAACGTAGTGTAGGACGCCCTCCTGCTAGATGGAGCGACGACCTGCGCAAGGCAGCTGGCAGTTACTGGATGCGTAGAACCGAAGATCGGGTTCAGTGGCGAGCTTTGGGGGAGGCCTATGTCCACCAGTGGACTGCCGCAGGCTGATGATTATGATGATGATGATGATGATGATGATGAAAGATATGATTCGGTCATTTGGGAAGTGTCTTCATTAAGAAGTTCTCCAGGTCGATCACCTCTTAAATCAGTGCGATGATTTGATCTGAGGATGTTTATTTAGGATTAGTTTATTTGAAACCTAAAATACTAGTGGCCATATCGTTGCGTTTAAACAGAGCAAAGTACTATCGTGCAAAATTCGGTGCATTTTAACAAATAACCAATGAGGAAACAATTTAAAAACTAGTTTGAATGAGTCTAAGGATATTTTCTAAAAAACACTATCAAGTTTTCTGAACATAAAATGTTTTAAAGAATTTTGACGTTGTTTTCATGTCAAGCTCAAAGCCAATCAATTATAAAGCATGAATTTTAATTTTTATGTATCTAATCTAACTAGAGGTCCCGCAGTAGTCGAAATTCGACTATAATTAATTGGAATTGTAAGTTAGCACACTTTTGTGATTGTATGTTATACTTCCATACTCACAAATTTCGCCAAGACTACACTATAAAAATATTAACATTATTAAATATTATCAGTTCCTAGCTAAATAGTGTCATGTAAACTTACGTTGAGTTGTCTTTTGTCAAATGCGGAAAACAATATTGAAAAATAATACCTGTACGGTTTTCAGTTCAATTGTCGTATTCGTCACCACGAAAACTGCGCTAACGGAAATGTAGGAAATTGTAGATTAAATAACAATCACTTAATTTATCCCGATTTGGGAGCTAAGCGGGAAAAGACATTGAAAAAGCCTCAGAATCGAGACCGGACACTTTTGCTGAGTTAATTACGAATTCATGAATTGTCATGGTCAGCAATCGGTCTGTTAGCGGTGTATTTTTCGAGGGGTGAAATGATTGAAACGAAATTCCGCTTAATACGCCACTTTTGTCTTTGTAATGAAAGGTGCTTTTTATTTGGTATACCATAGGGCGGCCATGAGAACAAACGAGTCCATTCTAAGGCAGCTAAACATCCGAAAAAAGGCTCTCTTCCATCTGCCGTGAACGTGTTATGATCTTCTTCGAACACATCATGCGATGTCCCAGACATGAATTAGAGAAGCTCATAATTGCGGATCGCATAGAACGCAAGCGCGCCGTGGGCAGAACACGAGCCAAATGGTCAGATCTAGTAAAGGAAGCACTTGGTGGTAGTCTGTACCATGCGGTCCATGCCACCCATGATCGAATACAGTGGAAGAACGTCACGTGTGGTCGCGATCCTCAGTAGTGAGGGAACGATATAGAAGAGTTTATTTGGTATTAGCATCAGCAGTTCGATGTTTTTAATTGAACTTCTATTAAGTTTACTCCATTCAAATACCTTCAAAGGTTTTTTTTGTTATGATATGTTTTCCAAATTTCAGACTTTAAATGGCTCTGCTGTAACGGTATCGTTTTCCGACGTAACGCAATATAGACCTTCTGTTCAGTTGTCAGAGTTAAAAATATGTTTACCTATTACAGTACAGTTCACCACCGATGGAGACGAATCGATCCACCCCACGATCACTGGAGGCCCCCTCAAATACAACTACAGACTTGAGCAGATGCATTTCCACTGGATTTCCGAACACTCTTTAAACGGAATTAAGTATGAGCTTTCTTTTACAACTAAATTGAAGGCAGTTTAGTGATTAGTGTGTTCTTTAAAGAAAGCCGTAACGGTTGTTTTCAAATTTCCAACACGAAGCAATCGAAAATCTCAGTTTAACTCATACAGCCGCGATACGTCAAAATTGAGGCTTCGAACTCATGTCTCAAGGAAGGCAATGGCTTTCGCGAGACCAATGACTTTTTTATTCTTTTATTATTGCTTAGATAGGTGGACGAGCTCACAGCCCACCTGGTGTTAAGTGGTTACTGGAGCTCATAGACATCTACAACGTAAATTCGCCACCCACCTTGAGATAAGTTCTAAGGTCTCAGTATAGTTCAACGGCTGCCCCACCCTTCAAACCGAAACACATCACTGCTTCACGGCAGAAATTGGCAGGGTGGTGGTACCTACCCGTGCGGACTCGGAAGAGGTCCTACCACCAGTCAACCAGTCAGTGTGACTACCTTCGTAATTGTTATAAATTGACAGGTTCCCAATGGAAATACATTTCGTTCATGTTCAATCGGACCTCTCTGTCGACGAGGCTCTAATGAAGAGAGACGGCTTAGCAATCATAGCTGTGTTTTGTGAAGTAAGTCTTGTACTCAAAAACCTAATTAATAGTTCAATCCCTCTAGTATTACTTACTAAACACAAATTAAGTTTATTTACACTTTAATTGCACTCGGTGATAATTATATGCAATCTTGATTTATCTAAATAAATTTAATAAACAGGTTCTATAACACTAACCCGTACTATCTAAATTCGTATTCTATTCGTAACCGTATTCTAAAGTGTTGCCTTACTGGGTGATAAAGTAGTTAGCTCTCCTTTGTTTTCTGGGCTGGGTGTCGAACCTCCAGACCTTGGTAACCGGATCAAGGACGGTATTTAGAGCTCTACCCACTAAATGACTCCCCTGCGTTCTCACCCAAGCGCTCGATCCCCCTCGAAGTCAAAACCCGGGAGTGAAGGGTAAAGCGTTCAAAACAGCAGCAAGACGCGCTGCTCTAGGCGGTACAGATGACAGTGTATAATAATAATTTGTACCCGAATATGTATTTATTGAATGCAGATTTAGTACCCCATACGTGTCAAAAATGAATCCAGAGAGCTCAGTCTAGTACAATGATATTCCAAAAACTTATAAGCTAGGTATATTAAAGTCATTTTTGTGGCACTTTTATCCTTTTTTCGAAAATTAACGTTTCTGAAATGTTTCAATAAGGTACAAGCAGATTTAGACGACTACGAAAACACTCCTGTCGATGAAATAATTGAGCACCTTCCGAACCTGACGAGTACCGGAGACAGAATGAGTGGCGTACTACTGGATATAAGGTTAGGGTAATTATCGCGATTTTAATGAGCACGTTATTAACAAAAAACCAAAACAGTCGAATTGAAAATCTTTTTTTTATTCGAAAATGTTTTGTTAAGAACAGTGTCACCCAATATATATGTGATATAGGGTAAATAATTTGAAATCGTCGCGGCCTAATGAAGTCGTCGTGGTCTAAAGGATAAGACGTCCGGTGCATTCGTGTTGAGCGATGCACCGTGTACGAATCCCGCAGGCGGGTACCAATTTTTCTAATGAAATACGTACTCAACAAAATGTTCACGATTGATTTCCACGGTGAAGGAATAACATCGTGTAATAAAAATCAAACCCGCAAAATCATAATTTGCGTAATTACTGATGGTAGGACATCTTGTGAGTCCGCGCGGGTAAGTACCACCACCCTGCCTACTGCACTGCCTGCCTGACGAGTCGTGAGCTCATCTGCCAACGAAAGAAACTCTAAAATCAACAACCACAAAATATGATAACTAATTTAAAATACTCTGTTCTAGTAAACTCCTAAGTCCTAAAAACAACAATTATTTCACGTACGCTGGATCTTTAACTTCGCCGGAGTGCAATGAGGTTGTTATTTGGATCATCTATCAATATCCTATACGCATATCGGATACGCAGGTAAATGAACTGTACCTACATATGAGTCGACTATTATCAAAGCCGGCAATCTGACTTTTGGACAATGATTGGTAAATCAGAAAAACGAATTATTGACTTTGTATTCGATTGGCAGTCACAAAACTCTTCGGAACGACATCTTAGATAAATAATAGGTTAACTATTAACCTTTATTTAATGCAGGTTTTGAACCGTATTCTTTGAAGGAGACGATTATATTCAAATCAATCTGTATTGACATATCAATAATTTTTTTTTGTCCAAATGCACAGATTGCCACCTTTGATAATAGACGACTCATATATAAAGCCTTTTTAAACATCAAAGATAGAAGAAATTATTGCGAACCTGATAAAAATTCGTTGAAGCAACAGCCAAGACACTTTGTACCGCTAATGATTCTTTGCAAACCAAATTATTATTAATCTTAACGCTAGAGAAACATTTACGGATTAAGCTTCTATATTCTAACCTGTATAATTTTAAATAATTAAATAGCAAAAAGAATAACTTTATACTTTATTTTTTAACCTAATTTAATAACTTTATTCTCATTTGGTGACTTGAAAACTCTAAAATGTTCGAAATGTCGGAAGAAATATAACGAGAATAAAAAACGCAAGATTAAACCTTCAAAATAGTTGTAATTGTATCTACTATTCGAGAAAAACTAATAGTATACTAATAGACAGGCTATTATTTTATACCCCATAGCCACAGCCCACTGAGTTTCTCGCCGGATCTTCTCAGTGGGTCGCGATTCCGATCCGGTGATAAATTCTGCGAAACAGTGCTCTTGCTAGTGCTCATGTTAGCAAATTCTCTCACGTTGAGCCCGTAAACTCACCTACCGGTGCACGCGTAAGTGTAATAGCCCCTTAAGCTGTCAACGATTATGTAGGAAAAAAAAGTAGGTACATTTTTTTTTTATTGCTTAGATGAGTGGACGAGCTCACAACCCACCTGGTGTTAAGTGGTTATTGGAGCCCATAGACATCTACAACGTAAATGCATCACTCACTTTGAGATATAAGTTCTAAGGTCTCAGTATAGTTACAACGGCCAAACCGAAACGTATTACTGCTTCACGGCAGAAATAGGCAGGGCGGTGGTACCTACCCGTGCGGACTCACAAGAGGTCCTATACAATTAAGAATTAAGGTCGCATTGAGCCCAAATCTAGACTTAGGCCATTCACAATGTCATCACGTCTTTTAAAATTTGCATGTTATTGTCTTAAATATACCTATATTTGATTCCAGTACCGACAGTTCAGCAAGATAAGCGCTGGACGTCACAATTTCCGGAGCCAGCAGCGTTTATCTCAGCACGTGGTGTTCACTCCGCCATCAAACCACGTCAACAAACCACACTTAGTGATGTTTTTCGAAAACGTCGTCAATTTGGTTGCGGATTTCTTTAGAAATGTTACCACGTAAGAAGCTTCTTATATTTATATCGAAAAATAAAGAAATCGTCAAATTTTCGGCAATCTCTCAAAAATTTCTACCGTGAAGCAGTAATGCGTTTCGGTTTGAAGGGTGGGGCAGCCGTTGTAACTATACTTGAGACCTTAAACTTATATCTCAAGCTGGGTAGCGCATTTACGTTGTAGATGTCTATGGGCTCTAGCAACCACTTAACATCAGGTGGGCTGTAAGCTCGTCCAACCTTATAAGTAATAAAAATAAAAAAAATAAAAAAATACAAAAACCGTGAAACGAAATTATAATAAATTATTTTAGGCGTTAAATCGCGTGATAAGCTTAAAACTAAAATATCAACAACGGACTTTTTAAAATCATTATTAAATTAATATGAAATACAGATCATTTTTACGAAAACTATTTTTAAATAATTACCTTTTTTTACAGCTACATGAAAAAAGAATTGAGGTCGCGATAAGAAAAGAATTTGAAAAATGAATTACAGCGGATATGTGCAAGCGGTGCAAGATTGCACCAGTTTTGTGTTACGATGTTTTTGAATTGGTATTTAGAACAAAAATAACACTTAACTTGAAAAGTTTTTAATGTTCATGTTTTACGATTTAAGTTAATAAACACATCGATGTTGCGGCGACGTCGAACTTCTTTGAGGATCTTGTCAATTTCGATGTACACTCTTCAACCAACACCTACCCTACATCAATTATTCCCACGTTGACGCCTTCAGCTCTAACACTAAGAGCAGGCTTAGGGACCCCGGTAACCGTACTCGTCGAACTCGGCAAAGAGTTCGACGTGCAACCTTACCCATGAATCTTCTCAGCGGGACGCAATTCCAATCCGGTAGTAAATTCATTCGCGAAGCAATTGCTCTCGAGTTGTTAGGTCTCCTCCGGAGACGCTCGGACAGCTACTAGCAAATCCCATCCCTCCTGGCTGAGCCTTTGCTCACCCATTTGTCAATTTGCCAATAATATTTAATATTTAAAATAAATAAATAAATCTAATATTTCAAAAAAAAAAAAAGACATGCCCGCTGAGTTTCTTGCCAATTCTTCTCAGGACGGAGGCTAATTCTTGTGAATTGGCGGTAGTTCTTTTGACGTTCAACAAGTATGTACTTTCATTTATGTTGAATAAAACTTTTTTGATTTGATTTGATTTTGATTTGATTTGATTTGTCCTGGTGAAACTGAAAAGGCCTCCGGGCCACCAGTAATCCTTCAATCATACAAAAAAAAACCACGCCTATTGCCACGAAGTGGCTAAACGCAGATATGAGAAGGTAATATTATAGTATTATCATCATGGACACACACTATAGGTATGTGACGATAGGCTAAATTAAACTTTATCTTTATGGGCAAGTGTAATTCCGTGTAAGCCCCTCTAAACATCTCAGAATTTGAAAAACTAAAGTTGGTCCAGTGATCGAAATTCGACGATAATCACTGAGATTTCAAGTTTCACATTATGAATTTATGAAGTTTAATTGATATCACTAAAAGTTAGGCAATAGCTACTGAACAAGACAAAGAAAAATGCTGCTAATTCATTAGACGTTTGAAAAACTCGTCGAAGTTGTCGCGGCCTGAAGAATAACCCACCCGGCGCGCGGCGCATTAGTACCAAGCGATGCAACTGTGCCGGTATTCAAACCCCCCAGGCACGTACCAATTTTTGTAATGAAATACGTCCTTAAGAAACGTTCACGATTGAGTTCCGCGGTATAAGAACAACATCGTGTAATGAAATGAAATATTCAAAAAATATAATTTTCGTAATTACGGTTGGTAAGTCGTCTTGTGAGTCGGCGCGGGTAGGTCCCACCAGCCTGTATATTTCTGCCGTAAAGCACTAATGCGTTAAGTGTAACTATACTGAGACTTTGGAACTCATATCTCAAGCTTGATGGCGGCATTTACGTTGTAGATGTCTATGGGCTCCGGTAACCACCTAACCAGGTAGGCCGTGAGCTCGTCCACACACCTAAGCAATAAAAAAATAAAAATAAAAAATCGTACTGAAAACTGAACCATGAAACTCATGTCTCAAGTTGGTAGGACCCATTTACGTTGATGTCTATGGGCTCCATACTTGACAAAAGGTGGGCCGTGAGCTCGTCCACACACCTAAGCAATAAAAATAAATAAAAACACTGCACGCAATGAACGGATACCCCAATAAAATTAACTGACACGCATAGTCAACGACACTGGGTGGCGACATACTGACTTCGCTTTCTATTGCTGGTTCAAAACGCTGGACACCTCACACTTCGCATAGTCTGAAAAGACATTATAAATGTAAAAAAAAAACCCACAATAATCAGTACATACAAATGAATTTATTTAAAAATAATATTAACAACACTGTACAAGACATATATAGTAAAACGTTTTTGTTTTCATAGTTTGTTTTACGGTTATTAGTTCTTCGACCTTTTAGCAGGAATTTCCTTACTCGCAAAGCAACTTCCACTAATTTCTCCCAGCTCGAGTTCTCCCATAAATAGTAAAAAGTTAATCACCATTATTAAACATTTGAACATTACGGAACACTAACTTAACAATTCACTATAAACTCCCTTTTAATATTTCTGCCAAAAAGTCGATACACACCTAGATGTTGCCAACGTTATTAAGGTTTACTTCGACTTCGGCTTACAACAAAAACTATTACATGATATATTGAAGGTAGCAAGTTCATTAATACAAAAGCAAATAAGGATATATTATATCAGTAGGAATCGGCTTGACTGTGTAACTCTTTGCTGAAGACCGCGAGCGTCTTCTCACTTCAAGGAGATTTCATAGGCAATAAAAATCTATACTTAATATTATAAAGAGGAAAGATTTGTTTGTTTGTTTGTTTCGAATAGGCTCCGAAACTACTGGACCGATTTGAAAAATTCTTTTTCCATTAGAAGCCGACATTGTCCATGATGAACATAGGCTACTTTTTTTTAATTTTTTTTATTTTATTTTTTTGGTTTGTGTGTTTTAATGTTTCCGAAGCGAAGCGAGGGCGGGTCGCTAGTGTTTAATAATGTCAAACCTTGAATTTTACTTCAGCATAACCGTCATGTTATTCAAAACGGTCACTGCTAGAGGTTGCCAGCCCGTAGTTTTTAACCCAATAACGGGAAAATGTGAAAACCGTGATTCTCAGTATACAGGTAGGTATGTTTATCGAATTTCTCATAACTATTCGTATTTAAACAAAAAAGTGTCATTCGATACGTCTGAACTCTGCCGAGCCATTGGTTTTTTGACGTCATATCGACATTAGTATAGACAACGATTTATTTCTATAGCTAATACTAATACGCGATAATAAGCTTTATTCTTAAGCTAATAATGTGTATTTTATGTTCCAAAATGTAAGGACTCGCTTGGTAAATATTTGCAGATAACATAAGCAATTGCCCCTACTGGAATACCCACCTTGAAGAGGTTCAATTAGGCATATTGCAATCTATATAATTTAACATGTTTAACCGGTGTTGTTAAGAGAGTTTTAACTATGAATGTGGAAGGCTTTAGAGGAAGAAATAGACCTAAGAAGAAATGGATGGATTGCGTGAAAGACGATATGGGTAAGATGGGAGTGAGCGAAGAAATTGTATATTATGATAGAGGAGTGTGGAAGGAGAAAACATATGGTGCCGACCCCAAGTGACTGGGAGAAGGCCAGGATAATGATGATGATGATGTTTAACCGGTCTTGCGGTATATATTTACCAATAAAAAAACACACAGTTCCCAGGATATAATAATCGTTGAACGAATACAATCGAGATATCGACTTATGTATGTTCCATGGGGAGTGCTCTGAGGAATTGTTCGAGATGATACCGGCATCTCGTTTTTACCATCTCATCGCCCACCACCGGAGTAGAGTTCATCCAATGAGCTCCCCTCCACGGTGTTTCCCGAGCGCTATGACATGTTCTTCTTCCAACGAGGCTTGTGGAGAGTATTAAGCGGTAGGCAGCGGCTTGGCTCTGCCCCTGGCATTGCTGAAGTCCATGGGTGACAGTAACCACTCACCATCAGGTGGGCCGTAAGCTCGTCTGCCTACAAGGGCAATAAAAAAAAAAAGAAAAAAATCGCGATGGATTTCGATGAGCGCCTACCACCGGAATGAATCCTAGTATTAAATAATTAATTTATAGGAAAAATATTTAGCCTTTTAATTTGCCCCGGAATTAGAGGGAGTCCGTTTGTATTGAATTTACGCGACTAATGATGGGAGCTATAAAAAATATATAAAACTGTCAACACATCACGCAAGGTCATCCGGTACCAATTTAGGATGCCCTGTGTTATGGGTACCTTTGAGTGACATACATACTTATATACGTTTAAATATATACATGTATACATAGTAAACACACAAACTCTTTCTCTGTGTGTTTACCTGTGTTGCCTGTGTGTAAACAAACCTGTTCATAACACGAATATTTGTCCGATGTGGGAAACGAACCCACGAGCCTCCGCGCAATAGTCGCGGGCGCTAATCACTGCACCACAGATATATTCATTTGCCAAGCCAATCAAAACTCGTAGCTTTATTAATGCCAGGTCCGCGCAATATAAAGCATACAAATCTCGGGGTCAATAACCGCACTCACTCAAACGAGACTGTCAAGTCAGCTGGTATTGAATTTGTTGTACACTGAAGTTTCGTTTTTAATTAGTTCCAATTAAATTTTTATTGTTGTTCATATTTAACACATTCAAGGACAGCATGTAATGCAGACGATAATAGACGACGGGTCTAGTGACGAACCTGGAGGAAGACCTTTGAATACAACAGATAAGTTGTTTCTATATTTTTGGAAAAATCTAGAACGTCTTGTGAGCCCGCGCGGGTAAGTTTTTTTTTTGCCGTACAAGCAGACGAGCATACAGCCCACCTGATGGTGAGTGGTTACCATCGCTCATGGACGTCAGCAATGCCAGGAGCAGAGCCAAGCCTCTGCCTACCGTTTAGTACTCTCCACAAGCCTCGTTTGAAGAAGGACATGTAACCACATCAAGTGGGCTGTGACATCGTCCAACCATCTAAGCAATAAAAAAAATACATATATGAATTCAGAAAAAAGGTTTTACATGGCGTAACCGTTATCGGGTTGATTTATCGTTATAATTTGCGTTATCACTAGAAGCGGCAAACACCAACAGCATTAAAAAAAAATATTTTCAAAAATAAAAACGTTTGTTATTAGACTGTATATTAAAAACAGTTTTTTCTTAACGCTCCAAGTGTTTTTAAATTTATTCGTGCCAAAAAATTTTCAGCACAGCTCAGAGTTCGTGAACACTTCGCTACATCACTAGACCGAAAACATCGATTCCGTTTCGTCGTTCTACAAATCACAAATTCTATTCACAAATCCACCAAAACATTCACAAATCAATCCAGTTACACCTGAATGATAATTTAAACTAAAAACTCAATAATGTGCCACAAAAAAACAAACTATACAGATTACTGTTAATTTAAAAATATGACAGAATACGCTTCACAATTTAGCAAAATTTTTTTTTAATACCTGGCAACATTCATGATTTTTTTTAATAGCGTGTATACTCTGTGCACATTGTACGCGGCTATTTTTTTTAATACTAACTATCTAGTGTACGAATTGTTGATTTTTTAAGGCTGACTTTGTAATAATATTATTTTATACAATAAATAAATAAAGCCATTTTTATCTGAATGGTCATTAATATGGAAAAAGAGCATGAAGTTCTAATTACCACTCTGCATTCGTTTGGTTTGAACAAAGATAATAAACATGTTGTAGACTTCAGAGCACTGGCGAAATACACAATTTAAAATTTAATAAAGATAAACTAATTGTTTTTATTATTCACAGCTTCCTTGAGTAATTTCTCTATGTACTGCACCCTCGTCACCAGTTTGTCTTTAGGATCGAAGTCCGTGTAATGGATCTGTATTACTCTATAGCCCTGCGGAGAGAAGTAAACATTTACTCATGAAAATTATATTCATAAACGTCTTTGAAACCAAAGACAATAGGGACCAGCGGGTGGAGGAGGGTTGGGGGCGAATTGGGGCCAGTCGGTAGCGCCTGGTCGCTGAGTGTCACTGCTCCTTGAGGCGTGAGGTCGTAGGTCAATTGCACAACCGTTGCCCTGCACTTCAAAGCAGAGGCACGAAAGACTATCGAAAAATACTAGTATTGCTATCGAGAAAAAATGTATAGGATTTAAATAGCGCCCCTACCGTCCGTAAAAACAACTAATTTCAGCAGCACGAATGAATTTACTCTTTCGTTTCGCAATCCAATCGTCACGTACAATACGTACTTAACAAATGTTATAAAAATCAAACCCGCAAAATTATAATTTGCGTAATTACTGGTGGTAGGACCTCTTGTGAGTCGGCACGGGTAGGTACCACCACCCCGCCTATTTCTGCCGTGAAGCAGTAATGCGTTTCGGTCTGAAGGGTGGGGCAGCCGTTGTAACTATACTGAGACCTTAGAACTTGTATCTCATGGTGGGTGGCGCATTTACGTTGTAGATGTCTATGGCCTCCAGTAACCACTTCACACCAGGTGGGCCGTGAACTTGACCATCCATCTAAGCAATAAATAAAAGCGTTCTCGAAACTCAAAATTTATACTCATAATCGGGAGCAAGAAAATTGTTTTGACATGCGGTAACGTAAATCTCGAAGGCTACCGTCTATTGTAATGGATCCGTTTTCGTATTGACAACTCGATACATTTACATTACGAATTCTATAGATTTTCGTGCATGACGTTCTGAAAGGACACATTCACGATTATAATAGACAGGTGGTGGTCCACTGAGATCACATAGGCTAGTCCCCCCTCCCAACCCCCCAGCGTCAGACACTCCCCCCCCCTACCTTGAGCCGCAACAGCCGCGCGCCCAGTTCGCTGGTGCCCAATGGCGCTATCGTCCTTCTGCTCATGTCGTGGTAGTCCAACGCCATCACTGCTATCCTGTACACGCTGGAAGTAAATTAATAACACTAAGAGTTCGTTCAACGATCAAAATTCGACCTTATCAGATGGCACATCAAGATTCATTTTCCCTATTGCTATATAAATAAAATCTTGGAATTTTTCTTTTTTTATTCAGTTATTAAGTTGTTGTTATTAATAATAATTAAAGAGAAAAACAAACTAAAATGATAATCAATCGTCTTCTCTTTACCTATGATATTAATAAAGACATTATTTTTGCGTATTTTTGTATCGTAAAAAAATCGTTATTTCTATGTGCTCTATTAAAATTAAATAAATTAATCAAGTTCCGAGCTATGAGCATTTCTTGTTATTAGTGGGTTTGAGAGGGGACGCTTTGTATCTCTCCTACAAAACGAGTGGCTTTTCTATAACCTTTGAGGAATGTTTATGTAGAAATTCGTATGATGCACTTGCATAATGACGTCATCGTTCAAAACAATCTTTTCTATATATTTTAAGAAGCGTTGATCAAGTTTGTTACATACTGTTGTCTTTTTTTATGAAAACATTATTAAATAATTCAAAATTGGTGACGTGGTATATGCCCTTATATGTCGGTACTTTATGTACAACAAACACGGTTTTTATTTACCTTTTATCACCGGCGGCTTTGTCCAGAGGCACGGGGTGACACTTGGCGTCCACAGCGAATTCCGCATCTGAAATTCAATTTTTTTTTATTGCATAGATGGGTGGACGAGCTCACAGCCCACCTGGTGTTAAGTGGTTACTGGATCTACGACGTAAATGTCCACATTGAGATATAAGTTCTAGTCTCAAGAAAAGTTACAACCAGCTGCCCAGCCCTTCAAACCGAAACGCATTACTGCTTCACGGCAGAAATAGGATGGTGGTACCTACCTGCACGGACTCACAAGAGGTTTACTTGTAAAGTTCAGCACGGCCCACGCATAAGTTCGCAGGCCAACTGTGAACGAATAGAGTGGCCTCACTAATCAGGCGGTATTCAAATTAGAGGGCGCCGGATTATTGAATTAAAAAAATACATTTTATAAATCTTTAAACCAACATATACTTGATTTATTTTTGGATCTACCCACGTCTTCACTTGTTTGCTTTTATATTGAAGAAATCATGTACCTATATTAGCATTTCACTCATCTTTTGACAATTGAAAAAATGAGTTGATGAAGGGGATATGATACAATTTGTTAATTTTGAGAAAACGGGCAACAAACTTTTGTTACTTGTACTTTTTCTTCTTTCATCACGTGCAATTTCTAAAAATAACCTTTAAATACGGATTTTTAAGGTCTAATATAGTTTATAGGCGCATAACACCTTCATTCAATGTGAAAAACTCAAAAATCTTAAAAACGGTACTTAACACCATTCATCCACTCATGTCTCCAATTATCAGAGACTCTTTCCATTCTGTAAATTCTTTTGAAACATCTAATTTATCTTTCAGAGATACGAGTCCTATTTTGCAGTTTACCCGACATTTCTAGGCACACAATTTTCAACAAACATCTGGTAAATGTCTACATGCTTTTATCATCTTGATTAAAATATTAAAAAAAAAAAAAAACTAAAAAAAAAAGACATGGCCGCTAATTTTCTTGCCAGTTCTTCTCAGGATGGAGGCTAGTTTTTGTGAATTAGCGGTAGTTCTTTTTGGCGTTCAACAAGTATGTACTTTCATTTATGTTGAATAATTTTTTTTTTTATTTGATTTGATTCTTTACGATTCATTATGTCATTTGAGGTTATACTGATGTGAATGTTAGTAATTTTTTAAGTCTAGATGCGGCAGACACGTGTGTGCACGATTCCTTAACGATCTAAGGAAACATTTAAAAACAAGTCACTCACCGTACAAGAAGCCCATGTTCGAATTGCAGTCCTTCTTTAGGAAGTTGGTAGAAGAGACCAGACTCCTGAAGGTTTCGAGCACGGCGTGAATGAAGAGCGCCTTCTCCTTGTTGTAGACAAGCGGCACGCCCTCGCGGACGTCGTCGGGGAGGAGGACGGAAGACTGCCTCGTCAGCTGGATATATGCGTCTATCATCATCAGCTTCCGGCGACAAGGGATCGGGATGTCTAGAGGAATTTATCTCGATATATATTTTTTAAACACTTAATCGAGCCCACGAACATCACCGCGCGAACGCTGCCATCCACTTTGAGACGTGAGGTCCAAGTCTCATGTGTATAGCAAGGCTGCTTACACGGCTACCGTTACACGGATAAAACCTGAATATTGAGCTCACCGCCAGTCGTGAGCAGTTTATCGATGAATTCCGGTCGTAATGTCGATACCAGGTGATGATGATCCGCTTTGTCGAGAATGAGGAGCGAGAAGACCAAGTCCAGCCACGTGGACGGCTTTACGACCTCCTCCTCCTTAAGAGAGCGCGCCATCTGTATTCGAAAGGTACATTTTAGTAACGAAGGGGTCTGGAAGTATATTACCAGTACTATTCATTCCTGTTTTTTTTTCTACCAATACGCTGGTAGCACAAGGCCTAGTGTCAGTTTCAGCAAAACTTAGAAATGTTAGTACCGATTTTACAAAGTACGACCATTAGTTTACGTCGTTACGTTACGTACGTACGTTACGTGAGTAACTTTTTAAGTGTATCTCAAAAAGACAAAGCTCCTACAGTATAGTAGCGAGTTATAAAAGAGTGCCAGTGTGCTTAATACGAGTTTTTTAACATTCTCGATAACGTAAAAGTTAACTCATATTTGTATGGAGTCGGAATGTTTGCCTACGTTGGCCGCTAGGGGCGCTGTTCCAATGCATACAAATTCGAGTTAACTTTTACGCTATCGAGAACGTAAAAAAACTCGCACTAAGCACACTGATGTATCCGTACGGGCCGACATAGCCCCCTGCCACTGGCAATCACACAAATTGCGAAATATCATAAATGACCCATTGATTTAGAAATTTTAAAATCACCTCAAACAGAGCTTCGGATCCGGGCGGCACGTAGTTTAAGGTGGCCAGCGTGACGACGGCCGAAGCCACGTCGCTGGTGCGGCAGACGCTGCTGTGGTCCATCATCCACTCCGTTATGGCACTCAGCGCCGGCTCGTGTCTGTACTTCATGAGGCCCAGGGACACAATTATCGAATTCACTACGGCCGGCTTGTCTTCGTTCTTCGGTAAACTATCTATTACGTCACTAGAACATAATCATATGCGATCAGCTAACAGAACATAAAAAATAGTCGTTTTAAGATATCTTATTTTACTTGCAACAATCTTCTTTTTTTATTGCCTAGTTGTGTGGACGAGCTCACAGCCCGCCTGGTGTTAAGTGGTTACTGGAACTCATAGACATCTACAACGTAAATGCGCCACACACCTTGAGATATAAGTTTTAAGGTCTCAGTATAGTTACAACGGCTACCCCAGCCTTCAAACCGAAACGCATTACTGCTTCACGGCAGAAATAGGCAGGGCGGTGATAGCTACCCGTGCGGACTCACAAGAGGTCTTACCACCAGTAAATTTATTGATCATTAGTGGCGATTCATTATTACCAAGCTCATCAGGCATCGATCAATCTGATAATAGCACCACCTACTGAGTCCATTGTAAATATTTTTACATAACAGCCTCATTGGTACCAAGTTTTGATATTTGAAAAATTCTCAAATCGTCCCAACAGTTTACTACTAATGAGATTACCTACAAACACAATTTCACACATTAATATCCAAACTCATTAAATTTACATTAACTAGACTCAACCCATGATGATGTCCCATGTGGCTAATCGTTATGTTCTGGTTATTGTCATTTATGAATGAATTTTTTTTTCTTATTTTACTTGATTTTTAATCACATATAGTCATTTTCCGACCAAAAGTTGTTTGAGACTAGACTTTATAAAGTACTACTTACATACTAAATCGATAACTCAAATAGCCTTTCACTGACCGAAATTTTTCATTACTCAATCAGATCAAACAAATTGGATTTAGCTTAAATAACCAGACCAGTTCTTAGTCCAACTGATGTTATGCTATTAACTTCGACATCTTGCTCTATACTCATTTGTCAAGCTATTTGATAAAGTTTGCTGGTATTAAAGAGTAATGTGGGTAGGTCACACTGATAAGCTCATATCTTCCATGAAGCGTTCAAAGTTCTAATTACAATGGTATAACTGAAAACCTGAAAGCCATTGTATTTTTTTTTTCTCTTTTTATATTTTTTTTTATTTGGAAGGCAAACCGTGAACTTAAGCTATAACCTTAAAATCTAACCTTACAACTAAACGCCATTTAAATGTCTTCGCATTTAAATAACTAAAAACGATTGTGGCGTCGCCTCGCCTAGAATTAAATAATTAAAGCAAAACGTAAAACAAAAACAAATATAACAACAATCTGAAAAAAAAATTACAGAAAACGTAGTAAATAGAAAATAACCAATTAAAAATTTGCATTCAACCATCAACTGACTAATATTCTCCTAATACCTTTAGTAGAAGTTTTGAAAATGTCCAGTTCAGGGCAGTCAGCTAGAGCATTGAAACAATACTCAATAGGCTCCATCAGGCACCAAGCGAGTCATGTGGTTGTCTAACCAATGTAAGCAATAAAAAACTTACTTGCATATCCTGTCCAGTAGCAGAGGGTCAGGAAAGTTTAAGCTAGCCATAGAAAATAGTAAATCAGCTGATTTCTTGAGATCAATGACCTCTGCCTGACTTGTTATGTTGTGCGAAAGAGCACGCAATAATGGTGTGCTGCGACGTCCCTTCTGCTGCAATGCCTTCATTACCTGAATAGTTAAAAAAGTATAAAGCAATGTCGATTATCTTCATCTTCCTCTAGTTCAATTCATTTTAATATTGTATGTAGTATTTCTAGATAATGTAATGACTAGTAACATTGTAGCCATGATGTTACTAACATCAAAGTATGCAAGTACTGCAAGACCTTCAAAGTTTACACTGTTTCACTTTCTTGCTTACCACAGTGGTTGTTACGGCTGCTACTTTCGTAATCGTGCAACTTAAATACCAGCAGTAAATATGGACAGCAATTCGTATTCATAGCATTTTTATTTTACAAGTTCTCATCTTCTTCACAGGCAGGAGGCCTTAAGCGCAATTTTACATGGCTCAACATGAAACAAAAAATATTTCTACAATGACTGTTTCAAATAGTAATTCCTACCTTTATCATTTGTGACAGCGTCAAATTTGAAATCAGACGGGCTGCCTCATCATCACCAGTTATTCCTAGAACTGTGCTCAGATCCTCTGCCATTGTCAAGGAACTCATCGCATGAGTGGTTGAGGTCCTAGCCAGAATTCTACATAGCTTTAAAAAACGTGGGTCTTTCTCGAATTCATTCAAATTCACTTTGTTAGTGCTCGACCATTCTGATAAGATAGAAACCATCTGAAACACAAAAATTCCAATTGAAATATTTTAAAATTTATATTTAATTAAGGAAAAATTATGAACAAATCATAAATCTGAATAGGTCATGGGAATCTGAAAAGACTTGAGATATGCGTGGAGATGTAGTAGCAGAAAAAAATACATTGAATAATTACCATTTTGTTTGCATCTAGACAAGAGTATAAAAAAATGGATGCCTTGAACATTTTAATGACAAGTCGCAGACAAGGCTGTCACACACTAGCTTAGTTGCCTGTTTTTTGTTACAAGTTATAATGATATGATAAGGTTAATTGACTAAAAAAACAGAAAAACGTTAATAGCTGAAGAGTATAGTCAAAAGCCAATTTATATAACTGATATATTGATAATTAAGTATTGGCAGTAAAAGACAGCGTACTAAACGCTAACAGTCATTAAAGAATTAACTAAAGTAACTTTCCTGTAATATTTTGGGCTTTTCAACTTAACATTACTTTTCTAGGCTTACATTGGTTTTTCTTGCTTTAGAATGCTAACGAAGTAGACATCAGTAGTAACTTAAACACTATGTTTATATTTTCACTACATGTAAAATAAAATAACAGGGTTGTTTTTAGAATTTTATACAGGTTCTGTTATATATTATCTTTAAAATGAAATATGAAAAGTTTAGGAAATAGTCATCTAAATTTTTGCATTTGATCTCCATAAACATACCTTCAAAGCATGTCTTCGAGACACAACAGGATTTTCAGCAACAAGGAGCAGAGAATTCACATCAGCAGCTTTGGAAATTTGATTCTCGAGCTGTTGGTGGCGACTTATCTTAGCTGATTTTGGACTTGGTTTCTTAGTTGTTGTAATTTCACTTTCAGAGTTCAAGTGTGCAAATGCAGCGGCTACGAGACCTAAAATTAATCATCCATATTTAACAAACAAAAAACTGAATTAATTGTCCTTGTTCTTGTCTTCAGGTGAATTTCAACAATGGACATGATATTTGTTAAGACCTCACAACAGTTACCATTGTATTGATGGTCTAACAAGTTTGTATTTGACAACTTTTTTTTCTTGTAATAGACATTCTAATTTAATCACTACTTATACTACATATATATTTCATTATACCATTGACCTGTCTCAAGCCTGTCATTAATTGTCTCAAGCCTCATTCACATTGTGTTGTCTATGAGCTCCAGTGATAACTTAACAAAAAATAGTCATCTAGTCAACAAGAATACTAATAAAAATGTCATAAGTTCTTAATTTAATAAACAAATTAAGATTTTTTTTGTAGTAAATTACTTCTTGAAACATGCATATTTCTTGAATCTATATAAAATTCATGACATTTTTTACATCTAGCAAAATCAATCAAAGATAATGTATTAAATGAAAAATCTACCTGAAGTATCCTTAAACGTTTCCGCAATGGGTATTTTTCCTTGAACATTCTTAGTGTCCTCGATTTTGTCAGTTTTTACGGCGGCAGCGTTCGTAGTCGACTGCTTTCTTATGATTGCCCTGATACCTAACCTCCAAGATATTGATCCGCTGAACCTTAGCATCTGGAATCGAAATGTTTCAAACAACGTATTAATACCTCTTAATAAATATCTAAAAGCATCGTCTAACACATAAAGCTGCCGCAGAATGATCGAAAACAACTGATTTTGGATAGACATGGAAGTCATGGAACATCTTACATCACGAGTTATGAATTAAAACAAATGTAGGTTTTAAGCGGATATTTGTTTAATGTCTATTATTCGTTGCATATATACCTTCGTTTAACTTAAACTAAGCCGAAAGCTGAGATATAATTATTTTATAGCATTTAAAAATAAAAAGGAATCTTATTTATCTTTTTGACATTCATCTGTGATTATTGCCAAATAGGTAAAATTTTCAAAATATAAATAAACTGGCAACTTCTATTTTTGTTTTTGATTATTCATATCTCTACATTACTTTTGTATTCATAATGTAATAAACCTAAAACGTGATAGTGATTGATAATGGGAGAAATTCAACACTCAAGTACAATGTGAGTTATAGATTTACGTTTTAGGTTTATTAATGAAAAACAGACAAATACACTGAGTTTCTGATCTATCATTTGACAAGAATTCTCAAGGGAAGAGTAATTTATCAAAGTACAATTGCAGTTCAAGTATATGGCTTAAAACCAGTGGGATGACATTCTACACTCCTATTACTAAACTATTTGATTTTCTCAAATAGCACAAGTATCCTACACTTGCTTGAAAACTCGTCAAGTCATTTCGTATCCTCCCGATCTGATATCAGTGCTTTTAAGCATTCCAAGCACCGCTCACCGACGTAAAAAATAGCCCACAGACACAACCCACTGAGTTTCTCGATGGATCTTCTCAGTGAGTCATGATTCCGATTCCGGTTCCAGTGGTAAATTCAGCGACGCACTGCTGTTGCCAGGGTAGATGTTAGCAGAAGTTTCTCAGACTGAGTTCCTTGAGCATAAAATAGCCCCTTGATATTACTAGCAATGGCAGGAAAAAAAAAATTCTTGCTTGTATGACCAGTCTTGACTTTGATCTCACATATTTCAACATATCATAATAAATGGGCCAAAAATATAAAAACTGATAAAAAATACTGCTCTAAATATCCAGTCCGCTCTTTGTCCATTGCAGAAGGCTTATTATTAAATTGGCACTACCCGCAGCTTACTCGAAGAGAGTTCAGGTGTATTCAGCAGTGGGTGTATAAAGGTTGCTGCTTTTAGATTGTTGTTGGACTTCAATGGAGAGTTATATTTCAGGTATTCACTTAAAAAAGACACTGCACGTGATTTTAAGAACTTCATCGCTTTGTATCAAGGACAGCTTTCTTTTGTGGCCAACCAATTGAAATCGATTCAGCTGTCACTCAACTCGCTGAAACCGATTTGATATTTAGTTCCTGTGGCTACTCAACTCTAGTATTGAAAATTGTTAAAAAAAGTTAACGGCGGCCGTAGATGATAGTTTTTGTTATGGTATTTTGTTGAACGTTCTAATAGTGCAGCCAAAACATTTTTTTATGAAAATGGTGAGTAAATTTTTCAGCAAGATTAAAAATCAAGTCACAGTATTAACCGATTAAACAATTAAAAAAACAAATTCAGAAAGCCAACGAGGCCTATGAATTTTAATTTAATATCCTTTTTTTTTTCGTTCTGTGCATTTACTGGATTCATTGAAACTAGCAACAACCACAAAATTGTTTAATTTAAAATTCATCAACAATTTTTTTCGTATAAAGACGAGTAATTGAAGCTCGCTAATTTCGTACCTGCATTGAGAAAATAAATCGGTAGATAAACTTTTTGCTGGAGAAACCTTTCATATTTAAGAATAATAATTATAAATTAATTGAGAAACATTTTATGTATGTGTTAGATAATTTAGAACATACCAAAACACACAAATCAATACACAGCACAAATAAATCTTGTTAAAATGTTTGTCAAAAAAAGTACTAATACAATTATTAGGTAAACTATTTTACATACATAGATTTTCTAATAGAAATTATTAGATAATAAATCAGTTTGCATGTAATGCAGTTTATGCCAAAATAGGCAAGAAAAAAATTGTCAGACGATCCTTTTTATTTTCTACCCCCAAAAGCTTTTGATGAGCTATTTGAGTGTTAATAATGATTAGAAAGGTGTATTGTGTTACTTCCACATCCTGTATGTCCTATTATTCTGTCTATTCCTGTTAAGAAACATTAATACCCTGGGTTTTACATGTAACACAGTCCATAAATATACATTACATTATTATTTTAATCGTCTCTCAAATCGTTATTGTTTAGCTTAAACAAAAAAACTTCTAAATCACATCTACATAAGGTATATTGAAGTATTATTAGGTACAGTTTTCTACTCTGTTTGTCAATTGTTTTTCTTTTTAAAATTTGTTTTGTTATTATTGACTAACGTTATTCACTATTATTATTATATTTAACTATAACTATTATATAGTATTAAAAATATGCGTAAAAGTAGGATTGGGATCCTAAATTAAACCAGAACACTTGTCATCACCTTTTTAGTAATTTCTTTACAAACAGTTAATACATTTAATATGTAACCTTTATTCATAAATCCTCATTAGAAAATTATGTTTTGTGATAAGTGGTATTTTTTTAAATGAATCATTTTCTTCTCAATAAATGTCGCTAACATGAATACCACTGTTTCCCATCCTTACTTGCTTTAGATCCAAGCTCTATCATTGCCAGGAAGGTTTGATGGTACAAGGGATCAAGTGTTTACCGATGATATAGATACCAAGGAAGATGATGGGTGATATCTATCTGTGCCACATAATAATATGCCCTACTACCATTAATTACATAATACATTACTTTATAAATTTTATACAATCCATTCCTTATTAAAGTTTTTCTCTCATCATTGAGTTAGTTTGTAAAAACTTGGGAGACTCTATCTATGTCTCCAGAATTTGTACTGGCAATAATTTGATAAGTTTGATAATCCTGACACAATAAGGCAACTTTATGCACCAAAAGAGTAAACTAAGCACAATTTTTCTCCACAATAATATAATAAGACACTTTTTACATATTGCTTATTAATGTAAAAATTACTATATTGTAGGGAACAAACAGTACCAAAAGTTTCTGGTGTGTTTATCAAATCTAGAATAAACTATATTTATTTATTAAATATAAAACACCACAGAGACAGCTTCGGTTTGAAATCATGATTGTTTTATTGAAGCCAAATTGTAAATGCTATTGTACACTAAATTTTGTTAAAGTAATTATATTTTGTTTTGTCTGTGGTCAGGCGGGGGCAGATGGCGCTGGTGCTGCTCATTAAGAGGGCCCCGCACCCCGCCCCCTCCCACGTCCATTCTTCACGGGTAAGTCATTTTTTTAACTACATAAGCAATACCCACATTTTTAAATCTAGTAGCCCTATTAAAAAAGCAAAATATATATAATACCTTTTAATTAGTGCTTTATATTGGTAAACACGGCTCATCTGGTTAAGTGGTGTTACTGGTGGTAGGACGTCTTGTGAGTCATGGGTTATTGACATTATGGACAAGGTCATGGCCCACCTGGTGTTAATTGTTTACCAAAACCCAAATATATCTACAACGTAAATGCTGCCTATCTGCCTGCATATCTTCAGATATGAATTTTAAGTTTCACTTTTTCAGTACAACAGCTGCCCCATTCTTCAAACCGAAACGCATTACTGCTTCACGCCAGAAATAGGCAGGGTGGTGGTGCGGACTTACAAGACGTCCTACCATCAGTAATAAAATTGCATGTCTTGAAGGAACTGTCATTCGCTACAGTGTCTAACATCATGGTTGTTACTTTCAAAGAAAATTAAGTAGACGCAATGTTTAGGTGCCGATCTGCCGAAGAGAATGGATCTAGCACCAACGAAACCCTTTAGGTAAGTTGCATTATGCAATTTAAAAAAAATCAGCACTGGAAATAAACATCGCGTGTATAGTAACATACGCTAATCAGACTGTGTGTCGATTACTTGCTGTGTGCTAGTTGGACTGTGAATTTGTTCAGCTATCTACGCAGCAAGTAAATACAATAAGTAAGACAGAAGAATAAGTTGAGAATATTAAACTATGGACAATCGACAGGAAATTATCTGTGGATAATTATAATCTGACAGAAGATTGCGATACCGCATCCTCTAGCCTGAAAATGAGAATCACACCCATACCAAAAGAAACTTGAGAGGTGTCAAGGGACACCCGGATGGAACGAAGTTCCTTTCGATTAATTGGTGAAGGAATTGTGATAAAATTTTATTTTTTATGATTTATTATGTACAAAAAACCTGTATACACTCAACAAAAATAATCGTCGTGACACCACACTGTTCAATGCGAAATAGAAAGACGAAACGAAAATAACTGGCTTGCTTTCTATGAGAGAGAGAGACAGAGAGACAGAGAAACACGCGCACGCCGCACGGCTTACAACTATAGCAAAAAGTGTCGTTAAAACTTTTGGTCTTAATTTTTTCCGTCTAGCCCCCTTTCACAACGCGCGATAAGGAACTTCGTTCCAAAAAACTTAAGAATACCTACCTATTTAACATGAGACGTAAATCACGAATGTGCATAATTAATACCAAAAAAAAAACCAACGCTTACTTAAACAGCACTTAATTATAATGTATATAAGGATTCGTCTCGGGCGTCACACACGGCGAAGATACTATAATATTTTAACTTAACATACAATATCACACATACATTTTGTATGAATTATCAAATATATATTATTATCTTAACCATGTGTGATAGTTCATACAAAATGTGTAGCGAGCGATATTGTAAGTTAAGGATAAATATATTCGTAAGTATATTCGCCGTGTCTGACGCCCTTTACTCTCGTGTAAATATTGTACACCAATCGATCGATAATGCAGTTCAATCCCGGACTACGCACGCTTTGTGAACTCCTCCATTGTGTAGGTACAGTGAAGACATCGTACCTATAGTAAAATTTAGTGCTCTGTTTTGGATGC